AGAGGAACTAAAAAGCCTCTTGATGAAAGTGAAAGAGGAGAGTGAAAAAGTTGGCTTAAAGCTCAACATTCAGAAAACTAATATCAGGGCATCTGGTCCCATCACTTCATGGGAAATAGATGGGGAAACAGTGGAAACAGTGTCAGACTTTATTTTGGGGGCTCCAAAATCACTGCAGATGGTGACTGCAGCCATGAAATTAAAAGATGCTTACTCTTTGGAAGGAAAGTTATGACCAACCTAGATAGCATATTAAAAAGCAGAGACATTACTTTGCCAAAGGTCCATCTGGTCAAGGCTATGGTTTTTCCAGTGGTCATGTATGGATGTGAGAGTTGGGCTGTGAAGAAAGCTGAGCGCTGAGAAATTGATGGTTTTGAACTATGGTGTTGGAGAAGACTCTTGAGAGTCCCTTGGACTGCAAGGAGATCCAACCAGTCCATCCTAAAGGAGATCAGTCCTGGGTGTTCATCAGAATACTGATGCTGAAGCTGAAATGCCAATACTTTGGCCACCTGATGCAAAATATTGACTCATGGGAAAAGACCCTGATGCTGGGAGAGATTGGGGGCAGGAGGAGAAAGGGACAACAGAGGATGAGATGGCTGGATGGCATCACCGACTCGATGGGCATGAGTTTGAGTAAACTCTGGGAGTTTGTGATGGACAGGGAGGCCTGGCGTGCTGCGACTCACGGGGTCGCAAAGAGTCAGACACGATTGAGCGACTGAACTGACTGAACTGAACTGATATGGCCATCACTCCTGCAACATGCTTTGGATTTAGGCAGAAGAGAACGGGAAATGAACAATAAGGTTTCTCTGTATGGGCCCCCTTTCCCATTTATAAGACAGAAATAGAGGCTTCTCTTGGAGCTCTTTACCTGTTGCCCAGTTCTTGCTTTCAGGTTGCATTTGACTTTAGGCCTGGAGAGATTGGAGATGGGGGAAAAAACAAGGAAACTCACCACCAGTTGTGTTACTTTGTGTTCTGGCTTCCTTCTGCAGTTAGCTTGCTACTGTTTACCTTTTAGAGTCCTCAGCTAGCTCCTTTATGCACTCTGTTCATGGTTTTCACTTATACTCAGTGGGAGAACCAGTCAGAGTGTACTTACTCCATATGTACATGCTTGGAGCCATTCATATTTTATAACTGAAGAAAAAAAAAACAGTTACAGCATGCGTAAAGATCGTGCTAATAAAGTAAGAGGATGAGGTTCAGTTTAGATTGAGCAAAAGTATAAAGTATAGGAGGAAAACAGTGGGAATTAAGGATGGTTATGTAAAGCACTGGTCAGATCATGCAGGTATTTTACAGGCCATATTAATGAACTTAGAGTTCATCCCTAGGCTAATAGGGAGTCATCCAAAGATGTTAGGCAGGTGAGCACTTTAGTGACATCCTTCTGGTTGAAGTTTGGGAAACAGATTTATTGGAAGCAAGCCTAGGAAACAGGATAGTCATTTAAGAGTTGTTTCCATAACCTAATCTAGATGTAATCATCACCTGAACCATTGGAGGTGTCCAGGGAATGGAAGAAGGTATACAGATGGCAACAAAGTAAGGAAGTGAACTCAGAAAGACCTGGTGATTGACTAGATAAATGACTGAGGAATTGTGATTGACATCACTTTTTTTTGGTGGTAACTTATTATTTCTTGGAAGAAAAAAAGGATGAGCAAGTTTGAAAGAAGAAAGATTATATCAATTTGTAACTTACTAAATTTTGGATCTTTGGGATACTCAAGTATGTAAATTCAGTAGGCAACTGAATATCATATTCTAGATCTTAAGGGAGAGATCACAGTGCTGCTCAAATTTTAGTCCTTTGGATTGTTTTAAAACATACCTCCAGGCCCCTCTCCAGAAATCCTGAGTCATTAGGTTTGGGATAGAACTCAAGAATTTACATTTTTAACAAGCCCCTGTGATGCTGATGCTGAGTTAAAGTACACATTTAGGAGTTAACGGTACAGCTTCTCAAGATTTTGAATTTTCTTTGTAAAATCTCTGTATCCCTGTTGTTGAATTTATTCTTAAGAAACTTTTTAAAGTTTCTTTTCTAAGAAGTTATATTGCTTTTCTATAGGAATGCTAGTGACTTTGTTATCTCTCTGTCTTTACTGTAGCATTTTAATAATATCTTAAACCTTTCCTGCAAATAATATGATTTTTCTATTAATTAATAAACTTTATTTTTTAAAATAGCAGTCTTAAGTTCACAGCAAAACTGAGTGGAAAGTACAGAGTTCCCCTGCCCATTCCTACCCTTGTCTGGTCTTCCTCACTGACAATATCCACAGTATTATATTTTTCACAACTGATGAACATATCTTGACATATCATTATCACCCTAAGTCCATAGTTAACCTTAGGTTCTTCCTTGGTTTTGTACATTCTGTGCATTTTGACAAATGTGTAATGACATGTATCCATATGTTAGTATGATACAGAATAGTTTTACTGCCCTAAAAATTCTCCTCTGCCTATTCATCACTCTCTTCCCCTAACCCCTGGCAACCATGGATCTTTTTACTGTTTCTGTAGTTTTTCCTTTTCCAGAGTATCATTTAGTTGAATTCATAGTGTTTAGCTTTTTCAGATTGGCTTTCTTCACTTAATATTATTCATTTAAGGCTTATTCCTTTATACCTTTTCATGGTTTGATAGCTCATTTCTTTTTAGTGCTGAGTAATATCTCATAGTTTGGATGTATCACGGTTTTCCATTCTCTTACTGAAAAACATCTTGTTTCTAAGTTTTGACAGTTATGAATAAAGCTGCTGTAAACTTCCATGTGCAGGTTTTTGTGTGAGCATGTTTTAATTATTTCTGTAAATACCAAGGAATGGGATTGCTGAATTGTATGATAAGAGGATGTTCAGTTTTATAGGAAACAAACAAACTGTTTTTCAAAGTGGCTGTACCATTTTTCATTCCCACCAGCAATGAATAAGAGTTCCTGTTGTTCCACATCCTTGTCAGCATATGTTGTTAAGAGAATTTTGGCTATTTTGATAGGTGTGTAGTGGTATATCATTTTAATTTACAATTCCCTAATATGACCACCCTAGATAGCATATTAAAAAGCAGAGACATTACTTTGCCAACAAAGGTCCATCTAGTCAAGGCTATGGTTTTTCCAGTGGTCATGTATGGATGTGAGACTTGGACTGTGAAGAAAGCTGAGTGCCGAAAAATTGATGCTTTTGAACTGTGGTGTTGGAGAAGACTCTTGAGAGTCCCTTGGACTGCAAGGCGATCCAACCAGTTCATCCTAAAGGAGATCAGTCCTGGGTGTTCATTGGAAGGACTGATGCTGAAACTCCAATACTTTGGCCACCTCATGTGAAGAGTTGACTCATTGGAAAAGACCCTGATTCTGGGAGGGATTGGGGGGCAGGAGGAGAAGGGGATGACAGATGAGATGGCTGGATGGCATCACCGTTTTGATGGACATGAGTTTGAGTAAACTCCGGGAGTTAGTGATGGACAGGGAGGCCTGGCATGCTGTGATTCATGGGGTCTCAAAGAGTCGGACATGACTGAGCGGCTGATCTAAGCTGAACTGAATGACATATGATTTTGAATATCTTTTTATATTCTTACTTGCCACCTATATATCTTCTTTGGTGAGGTGTCTGTTCGTGACTTTGCCTATTTTTAAATTGGGTTGTTCATTTTCTTATTATTGAGTTTTAAGAGTTCCTTGTATATTTTAGGTAGTAACTCTTGTCAGATATGTCTTTTTGCAAATATTTTCTCTCTTTTCATCTGTCTTCTTACTCTCTTGACATTGGCTATTGCAGAACAGAGGTTTTTAATTTTAGTGATGTCCACCTTATCAATTACTTCTTTCATGGATTGTGCCTTTGATGTTAAATCCAAAAAGTCATCACTATGACTAGCATCATCTATGTTTTCTCCTTTGTTATCTTCTAGAAGTTTTATAGTTTTGTGTTTTACATTTAGTTCTGTAATCCATTTTGAGTTAATTTTGTTAACAGTGTAATGTCTGTGTCTAGGTTCACTTTTATGCATGTGGATGTCTAGTTGTTCCAGTACCATTTTTTGAGAAGACTGTATTTGCTTCTTGTGTTGTCCTTGCTCCTTTGTCAAAGATCAGTTGACTATAATCATGCAGATCTGTTCTGCGCTCTCTGCTCTGTTCCGTTTATCTCCTTGTCTAGTCTTTCACCAGTGCTGCTCTATCTTGATTACTGTAGCATTACAGAAGTCTTGAAGTCAAGAGTCAGTCCTTTGACTGTTGTTCAGTATTGTGTTAGGTATTCTACGTCATTTTCTTTTTTGTATAAACTGAATTTAGAGTCAGTTATTTGAGATCTGTGAAATAACTTGCTGGGATTTTGATTTGAATTTTGTTGAATCTGTATACCAGGTTGGAAATAATTTTAAACTTCCAGAGTTGCAAATGCAGTTGTCATTTTCAAGTCATTCTGACAGCAAATAAAGTTTAAATAGAGGTGAGGATGATTAACCACCTATCCTTTACAATTATTTATCTTCCTAATAGTTTTATTTTTCCCTCATCTTCAATTACTTATTTTTAAGTTTCCTAATTCATCTACATCTTTCTGTTTAATGTCTTCTGAATTTCTGGATTTCTGGATATATACTGCTCAGATTTCAAAGACATGACAACTATAAAAGTCATGCAATGCTAAGATTTTTTTTTCAATGTAATTCTTATTTAAAAAGGGAAGAATGGCTTTTATTTTACTCAATACAGAAAATAAAAAAATATTTATTTTTTTTCAGCTTCAAAGCCAAATGGTGAGATCAAAGAGTTTTCTCCAAAAAATGTCATACTTGAAGATAATTCATCCCACTATTTGATGATGGAAAGATTTCTAAGCCAAGGCTCTGAGTATTCCAGTTTTAAAGAAGGCTGGAAATGTGAACATGATACTGAGATTCCACAGGGAAATCAGGGATGTATCAGGCAAGTGACAGTTTCCCATCAAGAAGCTCTGTCTCAGCATGTGAACGTCAATACTGTGGAGAGACCCTATGGATGCCATGAATGTGGAAAAACTTTCAGTCGGCGCTTTTCCCTCGTGCTACATCAAAGAACTCATACTGGAGAGAAACCATATGTATGTAAGGAATGTGGGAAAACCTTTAGCCAGATCTCAAACCTCGTAAAACATCAGATGATACATACGGGAAAGAAACCCCATGAGTGTAAAGACTGTAATAAAACATTCAGTTACCTTTCTTTCCTCATTGAACACCAGAGAACACATACTGGGGAGAAACCCTATGAGTGTACTGAATGTGGAAAGGCCTTTAGTCGTGCCTCAAACCTCACTCGACATCAAAGAATTCACATAGGAAAGAAACAATATGTATGCAGGAAATGTGGAAAGGCCTTTAGCAGTGGCTCTGAACTCATTCGTCACCAGATTACACACACTGGAGAGAAACCTTATGAATGCATTGAGTGTGGGAAGGCATTTCGCCGTTCTTCACATCTTACCCGACATCAGAGTGTCCATACCTCCAAAACCCCCTATGAATGTAATGAATGCAGTAAAGCTTTCCGTTGCCACTCCTTCCTTATCAAACATCAGAGAATTCATGCTGGAGAAAAGCTCTATGAATGTGATGAATGTGGTAAAGTTTTCACATGGCATGCATCCCTTGCACAACATATGAAAATTCATACTGGAGAAAAACCCTACGCATGTACTGAATGTGACAAAACCTTTAGTAGGAGCTTTTCCCTCATTCTACATCAGATAACTCATACTGGGGAGAAGCCCTATGTATGTAAGGTATGCAATAAATCCTTTAGCTGGAGCTCAAACCTTGCTAAACATGAGAGAACACACACTCTAGAGAACCCCTTTGAATATGAAAATTCATTTAATTACCACTCATTCCTTACTGAACACCAGGGAATTCACACGATAGACAAAACCTAAGAATGTATAGATTTTTTTAAAAAGTAGTTAATGCCTTACTTTGATTTCAGTGAACTCTTGAAAAGAAGCCTTATGTGAATATGTTGTGATTAAAATGTGGTCTATGCTGTAGTCAGTATTCTGGAGAAAACCCCCAGGAATATTTGGGAAAGCCATTAATAGCTGCTCATTCTCTTTTGTAACAATAGAAGATGAAATCAATCAGTATTGAGAAGATTCTTCATCTGGTGGTGGTGGTGGTGGTGGTTTAGTCACTAAGTCGTGTCCAACTCGACCCCATGGACTGTAGCCTGCCAGGGTCCTCTGTCCATGAGATTTCCCAGGAAAGACCACTGGAGCGCTTTGCCATTTCCTTCTCCAGGGCATCATCCTGACCCAGGGATCAACCCTGCATCTCTTGCATTGCAGGCAGATTCTTTACCACCGAGTCACCAGGGAAGCCTGTACTTTTTCCTGGAGATCAGAAAATTCATAATGAAGAAAAGTCAAACAAACACAATGGGAAATTTTAAAATACTCTTCTAAGGGGGAAAAAGCAACCCTATAAATGAACTTAACATAGGGTGACTTTCTGCAGTATTTCAAACCTACAGAATTATCCTGGGGAAAAACCACCACTGTAACGAGTGTGGCAAAATCTTAGCATTCTAAGAAGTTATACTGGACAGAATTGATGTGGGAGTTATTTTCTTAACGGAGATGTTTGTTTTGGCCTTTTTTAAAGCAAATTCATAAAAGCTATGAATAAATCTTTTGATTTATAGTAAATTAAATGTGGTACTGGCTGAGTTTGTTTCTTCACAGCAAGTGTGATTCTGAAAATGCATAATATTGACATCAACAAGAGTAGCATGCTTTTGTAAACATTATAAAAACATAATTATAGAAGCATTTTTAGATATTTTCTGGTTTTAACTTTGAGTCAGAGTTTGGACCTAAGGTTATGATAATTCATGTTTACCCTTGAATCTGACTAGATGTCTTAGTCAGTCTGAAATAACTGTAAATAAGGCACATCACAGGAAAATGCCAAGGTTGTTTTCCTCTTTTGCTCCAATTACAGTAAGAACATTTCTTTTGTAATCACATATCTGTCAAATTAGATTATGTTTTCATCTCCACATATACCTGCCCATTCTTTATTCTCCCATTTTAAAGATTACTTATCTTTGAGGCATCTGATTGCCTCCTTTTAAAGAACTTCTCTTGCATTTAGTACACAAAATACGTGATTTAGCACTCTGATAAGTGCATCATTAATGCACATTTTTTCATGTTCTTTCACAAGATGAAAGCTAGCATATTTCTTTTCCACTCAATGTAATAACAGAACACATAGCTGCTGTCTAATATTTACTTTTCTAGAACCATTCAAAGCCTCAAACTATTAGAACAACTCCACTCTATAAACCCCCATTTTCCTATGATTAATTTCCCTTGCACCCTATGGCAGTCTTTGATGAACAAGAATATATTTGTCATCTCAAATATATTTGTTACATTCAGAGGTATGACCATAGACTTCTCCCAGGAGGAACAGGGCTGATTAAACCCTGCCCCAAATTTTTGTATGGGATGTAATGATGGAGAATTATGGGAATCTGGTCGAAGGTGGGTACTATTCCTCCAAATTCAGGATCTGAATTTAGAAATCTGCCTTCTCCATAGGAAATATCAGGAGGTAAGCTCCAAGTTGCCTGGCTGAATTTGTAGTCCATGTTCTTGAAGAAATATTTTAAATTGGTACAAGTTGGAAGTGGCATGCATTCTGCTTTGGTTATTTTACTAACAGCTTCTCTTCCCTAGGATCTAGGAAAACCATAATATTTCAAATTACCTGTTTTCTCTTTATAAGCAGGACTTTCTATTTCTAAACCAAATGTGATCTCCTAATTGGAGCAAGGGAGAATGAAGAATGATGGAAAAATGGGAACAGGCCTACACTCAGGTGAGTGAGGGGCACTCAGGAAGAGAGTGTCTTTGCAGGTAGTCAGTTTGCCAGATATGTTGCTTGAATAATTTTATAAAAAATAAGAACTTTCCCCTAAAATTTACTTTATGCAGCATCATTCTGAACTACATAACTCACCCAAAGTTCCTCTTGTTCATTTGTGGTAAAATACTTAAGAAAATAAGAACTATGCTATTCTTTTTCATTTAATTAAAGTACAGATAATGTATCAAATACATTAAAATACAGTTAGTTCCTAAATTATACAGTAAAAGATATGTCAAAACACTGAAAAGAGAAAGTGAAAGTCTGGATATTTTCATTTATACAGTATGCTTTCTTTGTCATAGCAATGCAGTGCTGGCAATGTTGCTTTCACTCAATTTTAGCACAGAATGTGTTACATCTTTCCATGGTTAACATAACAATCATTTTTTTTTAATAAGCTATTGCAGAGGTAGCAGAAGACTAAAAGAAAAGCTTCTTGTTTTTCAAGATGAAATTCAGTAACAATGGCCAGCCAAACACATTAAAATTATGTAAAAGAAAATAGCAGAAATAAAGTATATGATGTACTTTAAATTACTCATATATTATTTCGGTTCCAATTTGTTTGACAAAGAAACAATAGTGACATATAGTGTGACAATCTCAATACATGTGAAACAGTAAACATACAATATGAACATTTTAATCTATGTAGTATAAGGAGTTTGTATTTCAGATACACAAGTATCTTAGGTTTGCATATTCAAATGATGTGAAACACAGGAAGGAAACCATTGTAGCTCTGAAAGAGTTACAATATTTTTATTACTCTGTTGTCATAATTATCCATACTAAAACAGAGACAGAGGAGAGAGAAGGGAAGAAAAATGAGTGTAAGGTACAGACATTTAGGACAAACTCAAAAGTTCTAATATATGTGTAGTTACGGTCTTTTAAGAAGAGAATGACACAGAAGAAATATTTGAGGAATTCAGTCAAGAATCTTATGAAATGATGCAAGATAATCTACGATTCAAGAAGCTGAGCAAATTCCAAGCAGGCAACTATGCACATTGTAATAAAAAGTAAAACCTGGTTATCAAAAGCTGGTATGGAGTAGGAGAGATTACCCTCAAAGTAGCAACAATAAGACTGAAAGCTTCCTCCTCAAATGAAATGATGGAAGTCAGATGATAATGAAATAATGCCTTTAAAGTGCTGACAAGGAAAAAAAAACAGATCAAATTGCCAACATCCGTTGGATCATAGAAAAAGCAAGAGAGTTCCAGAAAAACATCTGCTTTATTGACTACGCCAAAGCCTTTGACTGTGTGGATCACAACAAACTCTGGAAAATTCTTCAAAAGATGAGAATACCAGACCACCTGCCCTGCCTCCTGAGAAATCTGTATGCAGGTCAAGAAGCAACAATTAGAACTGTACATAGAACAACAGAAAGGAGTAAGTCAAGGCTGTATATTGTCACTCTGCTTATTTAACTTATATGCAAAGTACCTCATGTGAAATGCCAGGCTGGATGAAGCACAAACTGGAATCAAAATTGCTGGGAGAAATACCAATAACCTCAGATACATAGATGATACCACCCTTAAGGCAGAAAGCAAAGAACTAAAGAGCCTCTTAATGAAAGGGAAAGAGGAGAGTGAAAAAGTAGGCTTAAAACTCAATGTTCAGAAAACTAAGATCATGGCATCTGGTCCCATTACTTCATAGCAAATAGATGGGGAAACAGTGAAAACAGTGAGAGACTTTATTTTGGGGGGCTCCAAAATCACTGCAGATGGTGATTGCAGCCATGAAATTAAAAGATGCTTACTCCTTGGAATGAAAGTTATGACCAACCTAGATAGCATATTAAAAAGCAGAGACATTACTTTGCCAACAAAGTTCTGTCTAGTCAAAGCTATGGTTTTTCCAGTAGTCATGTATGGATGTGAGAGTTGGACTATAAAGAAAGCTGAGCACTGAAGAATTGATGCTTTTGAACTGTGATGGAGAAGACTCTTGAGAGGCTGTTGAACTGCAAGGAGATCCAACCAGTCAATCCTAAGGGAAGTCAGTCCTGAATATTCATTGAAAGGACTGATGCTGAAGCTGAAACTCCAATACTTTGGCCACCTGATGTGAAGAACTGACTCACTGGAAAAGACCCTGTTATTGGGAAAGATAGAAGGCGGGAGGAGAAGGGGATGACAGAGGATGAGATGGCTGGATGGCATCACCGACTCTATGGACATGAGTTTGAGTAAGCTCCAGGAGTTGGTGATGGAGAGGGAAGCCTGGTGTTCTGCAGTCCACGGGGTCACAAAAAGTTGGACACGACTGAGTTACTGAATTGATACCAATACTGATACCAATCTAGATTTCTATACCAACCAAAAAATCCTTCAAAGTTGAAATAAGGATGTTTCAGATAAACAAAAAAGGGAATCTGTGTAACACAGCTATGACTAAAAGAAATGAGCTCTTGAGGCAGTATGAACTGATCCTAGATGGAAACTTGCAGTACAGAAGTATTAGGAAACTAAGGCCTATGGGCCAAATCAAGGCCTGTGAGTTAAGAATGGTTTATATATTTTAAATGACTGCTTTACAAGATGAATATGCAAGAAATATAAATGAATTTGATAACACAGTAGTTTGTAGTTTAAAATATACATGAAACTAGAGAAGCATGATAATTAACACATGGTAAGAGGGGATGGATGGAGTGTAAGATTCTAGCAGCATTGGGAAAGTGGTAAATGTACTTGTTCGGCTCTCTCTCGATCTAGGGGCCAATTAATAAGTATATTCTATTTGAGAAAATTCATTAAGCTATACACATCAAGCTATTATGTTTCAGTAAAAAAGTTTTTATAAGTCTCCCAAAAGATTATTAAGCTTCAACTTTAAAACAAGAAGTTACTACCAGAATTCCATATTGTCTTAGAAAGCAGTGACCAGTGCTTCAGGGGACTTAAGATACCCACACAGAGTTAAGGCTGGGTCAAGTTTTGTTACTGAGAAATGACCTCACAGAATTTTCTACTGAACATTA